GGTCTCGAACCCGTGGGCTCAGGCAATCCTCTCACCTCAGCCTCCCAAAGGTGCGGGATTACAGGCTGAGCCACTGAGCCCAGCTATTCCACCATTTTATAAATGGTGGAATCAAGGCACACACTGGTGAAGAGGTGTGTTCACAGTAACTTCATAGTTTTTCACGTATTAGAAAAATTCTGTCCCTTCACTGCCTTGGGCGCCAGGCTTATAAATTTAGCTCCATGCCACAGGAGTTGTAAATTAAATTGACTGTTTCCGGCAATCATCTTCAGAATTCTGGATCTCTGGTAGCCCCAGTTCGCCCATCAGGGAGGTCACTACATAGCATCAATAAGGGTAACTAATCTCAAACCAGACACAGTGGGGACCAAAGGGAGGCTCACCCTTTTCCTGTACGATGGCCACTTATGGGCCTAATCCCGAATCGCACCCTGCATCTTAAGAAAAAAAAAAAGATTACTGTGAGGCAAAAGTGGATCACAAGTGATCACAAGACAGTGAGGCAGAGTGGTAAATGCAACATCTGATAAGAGAGGTTTGGAGTTTATTTATCTGCCCGATTTATTTGGTACTGTCCAGATAACTGGAGTTTGTACTCTCAAATATTTATGGGGGAGCTCTCCCAGCACCTAGTAGCTAATGGTTAGCCAGCGCTTGGTCCTGCAAGTTTGGCTGGCTTTTCCCTCTGCCACATTCTCATCTGCCTTCTCTGGGCTGATTCCCTGTCTTCCCAGTTAGAAACCTATAATTGGAAGGAAAAGATCCAAGAACCAGTCAGTTGGTAACGTTTGTAACAGTCTTGGTAGGAGACTATTTCCAAAAATAGATTACAGAGCCTTGAAGAAAGTTAACATGTGGAGGTTTCCAAATGCCCCAGACCACTGTGGTTTGAGAGTCCTTCTCATCTTGTGCTTTCTCTAAAGAACGATCACTTTATTCAATGTAAAATTGGTTTTTGTTCTGGTGCTGCCTGGTCCAAGGACATGCACCGAGCTTTTATTTCTTCACCCATCTTTCCTCCTTCCTTGTGTTTCAAGATTAACTACCACCTGCCAGGCCCTGTCCCGGGGAGGGGCCGTGGAGGGGAAGGGGTTGGGCGGAGACAAGGGCAAGGTTGTCGAGGCCCTCCTGGGCCGTGTGGGGAGTAAGATACGCACACAGACAACCCAACTCGAGGCAGATGGTGGGAAGAGCCAGAAGGGGGCGACAGGAAAAAACACCAGAGGCGTTCCAATCCAAGGCAGCAGAGATTTCCGTGGGTTGGAGCATCAGGAAGGACTTCACTGAGGAGGCAGCATTCGAGACAGCATTTGCGGAGGACGAAGGGGCAGTTGCCACGGCAGGGGTGATTGAACAGGTAAGAAAACCCGGAGAGGACGGTGTGTAGGGGGTAGGAAGACAATATGTGAGATGTGTAGGAAGTGCAGGAAATAAGTACCAGTTTTCTTTAACCAGTGACTTAAAGTCACTGGTTTTACTAACACGGCAGTTGGCACGGAATCCTGAGGGTCTTGGCAGGGGTTGTGGCAGAGGTAAAGGTGGGAGCCATGGCGGAGAGGGGAAAACTGCGAGCCCTGGTACTTATATTTCTGCTGTTTTATGCAGCTGGCAGAGTAACAGATGCCCTTGTTCACAGACACAGCATGTGCCAGAGGTTTGGGACCCTCCAATTCTATTGGTGAAAGGGACTGTCTATTTAGCGATAAGGTAACTGGGCCCCTAAGAAGTTAAGTTGCTTGTCTAAGGCTATGCACAATCCTTGTCAAGCTTTGCCTGGGATTCTAGGGAGTTTTCCCCAATGGCAGACCCTCTGTCTGTCTTTACTTACCACGCTGCTTCTCAGAAAAGTGACTCACCTTTGGGGGGCTGCTGGGAACAGGCGGGCAGGTGTGAGGGAAGCTTCCTGCATCCCTCTTTTCAGTTTCAGGACCTGCTTCACCGGAGTCAAGAACCGCTGCATTTTCAGAAGAGCAGGCAGAACACCCGTCATTCACCGCCCTCGGGAGAGATGCCCCGTTAGCGCCCAGCTGGGCTTTATAGAGCCCTGAGACGCCTGCCTCCAAAGCCCCGCCCCTGCTTACCAAGGCTCAGCCTGTTTCTAAAACTGGGCCAAAGGGCTCACTCAGAACATGGGCGAGTCAAACGCAAACATCCTTCCTCCAACATGCACATAGCTGCCCTGCTCTTCGGCGTGTGTGGGAATGGCTGGGTCTGGTTCCTCCTGTCTCAGGCTCCCGTGGCAGCTTTATTTCTGTCCAGTTGCCTAAGGATAGCTTGTAGTATCACATCCCAAGGTAACCTCCCTTGGCCTGTCTTGGACCCTGGCTTCTCATTGGGTGGTCCCTAATCCTCTCCGTGATGTCAGCTGTTATTATTTGAATGTGTTATGCATTATAAGACCAATCTTTCAAAACCAAAGGGAAACTTTTTTATAGTAGCTCTTTATGAAGGGGGTATTGGCACACAGGCAAAGGGCTGGGCAGTGGAGTATAGGAAGCCTGCAGTATTTCTCCTATCTTTATTGTCCACCCTTATATTTGTACAGCTCTGTACAATTTTCAAGTGAGAGGCAATTAGTGTTGCAGTAGGCAGAGATATAGGTGCCTCAAAGGGGTGGCTGTCATTTGAAGCTCCATTTCCTAAGGAGGACAGGTTTACTTTACAGGTGAGGTAGGAGATATGCAGAAAGGTGTGATTTTCCCAAAGACCTACAGCTAGTTAGTTGCAAGCTGGGACTCAACCATGTTTTTTGACTCTGGGTTCTGGTCTTTCTGCTTTGCTCTTCTACTGCTCAATACAAAGGTTCCTGCCATCTGATCTTCCCAATGAAGGTCTCCTTCCTCTCCTCTCATGGCCCCCACCCTCCTATACCTTTTATGAGGATCATGCATTCACGGAGTCATTCTGTGACTTCCACTGCTATCTAACATGAGGCTGGGACACCTAGGCTTTCCATCATCTTTAGATTCTTACCTCCACACATCTTGGGGCGTTACTGATCTATCTCAATCCCCTGCCTTGTTCCGTCATCTCATGCCTTTAGACTGGGCCTTTTGCAAAGGACTTTTATCAACAAAATTCTTCATTTATGGTCTCTTTTCTGGAACACCCTTTGCTTTTGGTTTTTTTTTTTTTTTTTGAGTTGGAGTCTCACTCTGTCGCCCAGACTGGAGTGCAGCAGCCGCTCCCGGCCACCGCAGCCTCGACCTGCCGGGCTCCGGCGATCCTTCCGCCTCAGCCTTCCGAGTAGCCGGAATTACAGGCATGCGCTACCATGCCCGGCTGATTTTTTTGATTTATTGTAGAGATGAGGTCTCATCAAGTTGCCCAGGCGGGCCTCGAACCCGCAGGCTCAGGCAATCCACTCACCTCAGCCTCCCAAAGGCGCAGGATGACAGGTTGAGCCACCGAGCCCAGCTACCCTTTGCTTTTGTCTATGTTAACATGTAGCTCTTTCAACAGATGAGGCTGTGCTCTTGGCCTCTCCTGCAATCCAATGCACTTCAGTGCTTAGAATAAAGCATGTGTCCTCTTTGCTCCTCACTCGTGGTTACAGAGCACTTTCCCTTCCTTCTCTCAAAAACCCCTGTTGTCTTAAAACACATGGCGTTAGTCTGTGCCAGCCCGCGCCCATCGTGCTTGCAGTCAACCAACAACCGTGTCCTACTTCCTCTCATTCATGAAGTTGAAACACATGATTCCTCTCCACCTTCAGCCAGTCCTCTCCACTGATGTGAGACGTCAACATCCAAACGTGATCATCATCCACCCTGGCCTCTCACCGAAGTTCCCAGTTCTATCATCTCACCTCCCACTGCACAGTCATAATCTCGACCATGTATCGCAGTATCTATGCTACCTCCAACATTTGAATCTCATGGATTCCAACTTCCAAAACCGCTATCTTCCCAGAGCACTTTTAATGTACTCCCATCTTTGTTTTCCGTTAAGACTACCACTGGGCCATCTACTTTTTCCCCATTTGTCATAACTCATGGCTTCTCTTCTCTCCTCACTCTGCTCTGATGACCCGTGGTGCCCATCGTAAGCAGTACCTTGCACGCTTTGCCATCTGTTCTCTCTGTGGGACTGGCCTAGTAAACCTTCAACTTTGGTTAAACCTGACTCTTGATCTACTCCATACCTGCTTCCGAGCAGCTAAACGTGGCTGAAGAAAAACACAACATGGCACTAAGTAGATAGCGGTACTTAAAAAATTTTTTAATTTTAAAGATGTGGGGTACAATTCAGGGTCAAGTATACAAATGTTTGTTATGCAGGTATCCTTGTTGATAAGGTATGCCTCCCTTTCCCTGGCAGTTTCCCACGGCTGCCAATCCTGCCCCGCCCTCTCCTGGCAGCTAGCTTTAACTTTACAAACATACATCTTGAGTGGACAGTTACCATGGCCTGACAATTCTACTACATTTTCCCAGTCCATTTGCTCTCCCGGTTCCAAGAAGGCTAGTCGCTACGTTCTTCAGCCCCTCTCTGCTCATTCTCAGTTGATCTCTTTGATTTTTACTTCACTGAGAAAATAGAAACAACCTGAAAAGAACGACTTCATTTTCCATAAGCAAATTCAGCAAATGGCCTGCTTTTATACCCCATACTCTGTCTTCTCCTGGTTACTAGTAGAGGAACAGCCCATGCTTTGGCTTATGGCCAGTGTCACCATTTGTACATTGATTTCATTGCCTCTTTTTTTTTTTTTTTTTTTTGAGTTGGAGTCTCACTCTGTCTTCCAGGCTGGAGTGCAGTGGCACGCTCACAGCCACCACAGCATCAACCTGCTGGGCTCAGGCGATCCTTCCATGCCAGACTTCCCCTTCCAAGTAGCTGGAACTACAGGCACGTGCCACCACGCCCAGCTAACTTTTGGATTTAGTGTAGAGGCGAGGTCTCAACAAGTTGCCCAGGCTGATCTTGAATCCCTGGACTCAGGCAATCCTCTTGCCTTGGGCTCCCAAAGTTCCGGGATTACAGGCTTGAGCCACCTCACCCAGCCTCTTTTCCTCCTGCATTTATCCTCTGTGTTTTTCCTGATCAATATTCCCTTCCAACTAAATTGTTCTTATCTTATTGATCTTGTACAATCCCATCTTTAAATACCTCTTCTTGATCCTATACGTTTTACTGAGTAAGCCACCAAATCCATCCACTCCATGGAAGAAAATTTATTTAAAAGTGCATTTTCAGTGTTTTACTTTCTTTCCTCTCATTCTGTCTTTACTTGACCATTTAGGCTTTTGTTCTCAGCACTCCACTGAAATTCCTCTTATCAAAGTCACTAACTTTCTTGTCAAATCCAGTCGATTGGTCCTGAACCTTCAGCTTGCTAGACCTCTCAGGAGCAAATGACAAGGCTACTCTCACTCATTCTCAAAGCACTTTTTCACAGCACTATGGTTTTCCTCCAAATCAGTGGCCACTCCTCACAGGTGCTTCTTTCTCTCTGATCTCTAAATTTTGGGGTGATCTAGGAAGTTCCCACATATTATTTATTTCACTAAGAAAATGGATGAAGCTGAGTTGTGTTAAAATAAATTAGCCGGGCTCAGTGGCTCAGCCTGTCATCCCGCGCCTTTGGGAGGCTGAGGTGAGTGGATGGCCTGAGCCCGCGGGTTCGAGACCCGCCTGGGCAGCGAGACCTCATCTCTACAATCAATCAAAAAATCAGCCGAGCGTGGTAGCGCATGCCTGTAATTCCGGCTACTTGGAAGGCTGAGGTGGAAGGATCGCTGGAGCCCGGCAGGTG